CACTCGTTCGCACGATAACAAACTCCATCATCAGACTCTTGTGGTAATATAATTTTATTTATTTGATTATTTTTTATACTGTTTATACCGTAACAGATGATCACAAAACATTTAAACAAGTCAGAAGCAAGAAGAAAACACTCGTTTATGCCATGTGATTAACATGCGGCGGCAATCGACCGACCAGCATAAAATAGCAATAGAAATTATGATCGTGTAAAAGAAAAATGAAGACTAAAAAACACATACACACACCTTTACCTTTTTTCGTTCCATCTTAGGGTGGATGGTTGAATGATAATTTGATGACTTCAAACTAGTTGGAAAAGTTTATAGAATTCGCGTAATTTATTGTCAATTTCGGTTTTCTTTCGCTGTGTGTATGTGTTTGCACGCCTATAAACAGGATTTGTTTTCAATGGCCTCTTTAAATTATTGTACATGGTGCATTGTGATTAATTTTGTGTTATTGTCGGTCGGTAGTATACGAGATAAGTATGCAATCACCGCTGCTGCATTCATCAATTGAGCAATTCAGAGGTTAAGCCTATGCCGCACATATGATGTGAAATCCCTCTCTCCCTCTCTCATCCTTTCCTTCCTATGCTCTCATTCGAACTTGGTTTCGGATCACACGAAGAATAATTGCGAAATGACATTTATGCTCTCTTATTGCCCAGGTGTAATGTGCTTCTTTTTCTACTGCCGATAAGAATGCGGCAAGCGAAGAAGATAACAGGATGAACGAGTATCTCTTGTACATAAAAGGCTTTATATTTTTATTTGGACGTGTATTATCTAACTGAAGATCTTGCCTTGCGAGCAACATGTGGAAGAATTACATGCACGAATCTTGCGTAACAAGCAGCAACTAATATGTTGGTAGTTTTTTTTTTTTGATGTTCTTTCGTGCCGACCGCGATCAGTTTGCAGTTGAAACGGAATATTAAGCGAAAAAAAGAAATGGGAATTCAATCAATTTCCATAGCAATTCATTTGATGCGATCCTCTTTTCTCTTATTAGACTTTGATTCTTTAACGGAACTGACACCTTTTTGATGTTTTTGCTACTCTCAAAAGCGCATACGTATGCACGCACTCGTCTGACCACGTACAATCGTCAGTTTGATCGTTCATTCGCCTCTACAGCGTTGCTGTACAGGTGAATATGATGTGAAGTGCGATGCGATGAGCTTGCAATTGCTGTGCCTACATCACAATTCATTGTTTAAACTGTAAATAAGAATATTGTAATTATATTTCGGTGGCAATCCGTAACAATATCGAGCATCAAGCATAAACAACGATTAATATGCATATTATTACTGCATCATGCATCTTTTCAATGTGGCAATTTACATCGACATTTTTATGCGGTAGACGCGCCATGAAAATCGTTGTTCAATTAAAAGAAATCGATTTGCATAGGCCGTGTGTTGTTGGCAACAACAGCAACATAACAACAACAATAACAATCCACACCATTACCATCTAACGAACTGGAGCAAACCGAATGTGTGCAATAGAGTTAGGGTTGCAAATTGCTTTCAATACGTGCCGACCAAAGCGTGAAATTCTAAGAGTATACAGTTCTGCACAAATAATCTTCGCTCTTGGCAATCCGAATGAATTATCATTTATTGTATTGTTTCTTTTCACTTCGACCAGAACCATATGGCTCTGTTTTTTTTCTTTCTTTCTTTCTTTCTTTCTTTCAAATTTATATTCGCTTCGATATCTCGCCGTTTGAAAGGAGAAGCCTGTCGAAAAATACACAACTTGAATTCGGTGCTGGATGTCTTCTGACGAGAAAGAAAAAAAAGTCATCACTTATGATACGAGCACGTGTTGCACGTTCATTATTATTATTGGAGCAAGATTCCATTGTTAAGTTAAATGCCATTATTTATGACAAAAAGCTGGTATGTTTTAAATAAATAGCACGCGTTCTGGCTGTGCAGGCGCTTAGATAACACCGCTGCTTGTTGCATTAGAATCACGAAGAGACGACTTTGAAAGCACAATAACCGAAGAAAAAACGACAACAACACAGACAACAAACTCCCAAATAAAAAATCGTCTTTGGAATTTGTTAATTGTCTATTGCGAGTGCAGTTGCAGTCATCGTTCCATTGTCTTTTGTATACATTGGCTTGTGTTTGTAAGTGTGTATTTGCTTGATACCAATTTCGGTGGTTGGTTGGATGGTTTTTCTGCTCGTCGTTTCGCTTTCGTCGTGCATTTTTATGAGGTGCTATTTTCATTCGAGCACATTGTCTTTTTGTCATCGTTTATTACATTATGTTTGCTTTCTTCCATCGTGTCGTTTTTCTATCGCAATTCCACTTTTGATTATTTTTTTCTGTCTATTCGTTCGTTGTTTTTATCTTGTGTGTGTATGTCGTTTTTTTTTCGTCCATTCGCTCGATATACTTTACTCATAACATTTGAATGCGTGATATCATCCGATGATTCCATAAAAATATCTATTTTATTGTATGCCAAGAGGCTTGCGCATTCGTTCACGATATATACATACAGAGAGCCCAGATACATTGCCAACATTATTATTATTGTGGGATTATTTGTATGACTTGAAACAAAAGAAAAGAGAAAAGAAGCAAAAGAATAGACGGAAAAAAACATCCAAGTCGAAACCAATTCAAAAGACACACCATACACTCGCAGATTTGTTAATAAATTGGTAGTAAATGAAGAGATAGAGAGAGAGAAACACATATAATTTCGTTTAACTTTGTGCACGTAATTTGGGATTGTTGAATGCTAATCAACTTCCTGTGTGTGCGAGCACGAGTGTTTTGACTCATATACACATTCGTTGTCTTCTTTCAAACGTTCTAAAGACATGCCATCTGGAATGGTATTCATTTGTTTGTCGAAAAAAGTAACCACAGTCACAACAACAACACAAAAAGTGAAAGAAAAGACGAATGAAAAAGTGCGCGTGAGCGCGAGAAAAAAAAACAAAATTACAGATATTATTCGCATTAAGGTGTCAATGTTGCAACTCTTATTAAGGCACAGTGATTATTATCAAAAATAAAATATGTATAAACGCAGAGAGTGCGTAGATTGTGATAGAAAGTCCCACCAATGGTGAACACATCACAGAACAAAACAACATATTAATTGACATATTAGTGAAATTCATTGGTGGGAATAGCCGAAATATTCAATCGGATTTCATTTTGTTCGGCCAACGCAATTGGTTTGGCCGCGCATAAATCAATTACGGTTTCGTTTTTATTATGTTGTCTTTCAAATGATGCCCAGCTATCTATATATAGAGATATAGCGGTTCGGGATGGTTTTGGTGAAAATGACCATCGAATGTTGACTCTCAAAAAGTTAATTAGCACTGTGAGCGACGCTGTACCGTTCACGATTCAATCCGATTCATTTTCACTTCCGAACCATTTTTACTTTCCGCCAAAGTAAATATGCCGTCAATTATCGTATACACGCACTCATCATGTCTCTCGTTTCTCGTCAATCTTGATCTGACGTTCCGACCCAACCATACAGGCAATCAATTGCATTTGCCGAGTCCTAAGTCGTGATTTAGATTTAATTTAATGACTTACCTCAACTATTGATAAGCTATTTCTTGGTTTGGCTCACCGTTCGATGAAGAGCCAATATTTGAAGCTTGCTTTCAAGTCGATTCGACGGAGTTCTAGATCTTTTTTTTTCGATGGAATCGATTCTCCAGTTTTTTTTTCATCAAATGAAGAGAAATGTTCTGTTTTGACTTTAAAAAAAAGTATCGCGGGATGAGTCAACCGATGCATTCGCAAATTCTCCCATTGCTACTAAGATAGCAAAAAGTCATGGATCGTGTTTGAATCATTTAGAATGATATCAATTGCTGCGGTTAGCCATCATTTAGTTCATGAATTGATCGATTGAATGATGATGAATGCTTCAATCATGCAACAAAGTCTTGTAGGGCGATGCTTGATTGCCATACTCCGATGTATTATTGCTATTTTTTTGCTCCTTTCTGTTCAAATACAAGCGCACGAGCATTGGCTTATTCGCTAGCCCAATGTTTATTATTTTGTTTTTGTGCGGATCGTTCATTAGCAGTAAATGTGAAATTAATGCTCCGTACTTGCTGATCATTTTCTGGAGAGTTGAAAAAAAGCGGTGGAGCATATCGTTGGCTGTGTATAAAAGCGAGAGCGAAAACTGCACAACATTTCTAAACAAAAATGAGATGATTTTTCAGTTGTTGCTGTTCGCATATTTGCTTAGGCCGCCCGGCCGTACATTGCGCTGCCTTTATATTTTGGTAAACTTGATTTGTGAAAAGTTTGTTTGTGATACCACACGTGAAAACCGGTTTCACTGGCATCCCATAGCTGGGCTGACTATTACACGTATAAATGCATTCTACGCAAACAAAAATCACATGATTAGCTTAATGATTATGGCTTTTCCGAAATGAACGAGATCTTCGCGTAATGTTTTTCTTTCGTTTCTATTTTTTCTCCTTACTTTTATCTTTTTGTTTTTGCTTTTAATGCAATCGACTTTAATAAACTGAAAAAATTCACTGAACATGGTCGCTCTTGTTCGAAATGAGCAACAGCTTCCACAACGTTTTCATTTTAAATTATGAAAATCAAACGGTTGAGATTCCGTCATCAGATTTTTTTTCGAGTTGTACAAAATTGGTAAATAATATGTCAAAAGTAAATGGTTTTCAATGCGATCGAATTGGATTTTTGCGTGATGTGGTCAATTTCAAATTAAAAAAAAACAGCCACTATCTGGCCTAACAAATCACACATTGATTTTACCAAATATGAACCTCATACGCCATTTAGAACATTTTCCTGTTATGGCTGTACTCATTTTAAATTACATGTCGTACATATTTTCCCCTATTTCCCGTCAGTTGTTAGAGTTTTTTTATGCGCAACAGCCTTTTTTACATTCAAATATTTATCAAAATTAATGGTTGAATCACTTACTGATATGTCCATTTGGCGGATGGATTCCATTTATTCCATTGGATCTTTGATATCCGGAAGGCATTGTTTCAATCTTATATATCACTATTTACAATAAAGACAGAAAAACCATGCGAATTCACTTGCAAAACGCGCTTACAAAAGTCACTGCACTGATTTCCAGTTTCCTCTTCACTCTATCAGACGAGTCGTTTTTCGCCGTTTAACTCGACAATTTAATGTCTGTGATTTCGATCAATGTCACTATTGTCAATGTGCAATTTGCAATAAGTCACTAATAAGAGTAGAGTAAGTACACGACGGGTGTAACATAAATGCGCGTAAATTATACTTTCGAACCATATCAATGCAATGCAAAATTATAAAGTCACGATTAAATAGCAGAGACGGAACACAGCCACAGTTTTCATAATTACTGCATCATTCACACGGTTTACCTGTGGCTGCTGATAAATTGTGATATGGATAAATGTAACATTATTATCATATGCGATGTTATTTTTTTTCGTTCGTCCTCTGTCGCTAGCAAATTCTTTTGTCGGAACTATGAATATGTGTGGTCAGGTCGATTTACTGTGAAATGAATGTAAAGCAAGAAAAAATAGAAACAGATTGTTTTTACTTTCGGTTCGTTTCATGTTAATCTCATATATTTGGATGAAACAGACCAAATTTCAAAGTTTGAGAGCTAAACTACGATCGTTTATTGCAATCAAAAGCATTTATTTTCCTTGGCCGTTATTATTTATGCTATTCTGTGTGTGTGTGTTTTTTTTTGTCATCATTGGAACAAAAGAGAATTATATGCTGAACAACACTTTCTAAAAAGTGGTTTGTGTCGTGTAATTTCCTAGGTAATTTCTTGTCGCTCTTCACATGTTTTTTGCATTCATCACATTCTCATACACAAATAAACACACACACAAATCGCACACCGTACATCATCCGTTGACAGAAGACAGTACAGAGGGCATATATCAATCAGATTCATGCAATGAGACAATTGGCGCTATTCTTTCTTGCTGTTGCGGGTTTTTGCAGCTGTGTGAAAATCGGTTTTCGTGACAATCTCTGGTGTTATGGCTGTGACGCAGATGAATGAAGAATAAAGTTGCTTTGATCGATAACTAGAACACATAGATTAACAGATTAGGTCGATGCGAATAGAAAAAAAGCTAAAACGTGCCAGGAGGGTGCGATCAAAGTTATAATGAGAAAGTGGCTTATTTCAAATAAGTTATTTGTCTCGGGCCAAGCAAACAGTTTGAAAAATGATTTCTTTTCTTGCTATTTTTTTTTCAACGTGGCTTTGAAATTACACAACACCAATGAACCTACTACTGATGTCACCCACTACCGTTAAATATATTTATAAAACAATCTTTCATGTGCTCGTACAAATTACAAATTGATTACAGCGAAGTTAAGAGGTCACAACCGATATTCATTCCGTGAATAGCTTCTCCTCATTCAACGAACGAAAATCTTCTGAGATTTTGTATCATAAATTTGCTTAAAATTGATTAAATCTTTGCAACAAAACCAAGATAATTGCATGAAAGGCACCTAATAGTCGGTATCCAATTCAGCTATCATCGGACCGTAACGGTTATTTAACTTAGATCCAAACATTCCGACTTGCTTTTCACGAATGATCTGTTCTCTGTCGAGAAATCATGTGTATCGTATACTTTATAAATGTCACTGATTGATATGTCACCCACAACAAATTCCACACAAATCTCACCAGCACAACGCTCAGTTAGTACGATAATTAATTCAAAATTCTATCATCAGAAAATGAAGTTTAACTTAAATTCACATTTAAATAAATGATAAACACACCAATTTTTTTGTTTTTGTGAACAATTTCGATTATCAAAACGAGTCAATTTGGCTCATTAAAACACTGATTCATGTGACGATACGTTTCAAGTGATTTGTTTTGGATGTTCGAATGTGTGCATTCGTTTGTTTTGTTTTGATTCGATGTGATTAGAGGCAGCGGAGTCGAAAAGCGCATAGCACACGATGCTACTATGCGTACACCACATTCTCCGTCGAAGTATGTGAACGTACTGAAATATCTATTTTACCTCTAGCCGCTGTGGCCGTGTATACTATACACAATAATATCATCATCATTTCTTCTTCTCGTTCTTTGGTTTGTGCCTCTTTTTTAGCGCTTTTTCGTTCGAGTAATTTTGTTTTCTAAGTCTCTTCATTTCTTTCTTTCTTTCTTTTTTATGCTTCTTCTTCTATTTTATATAGCATTAATTTAGTTAACACTTGACGAACTGGCACACAATAGTCACGGATCTTGGGCTTGGCTGCTTTCGTGCTAAAAGTCAATTGGGCAATGCAGGTATACGTAGTATATCGAGTGCCGAAATCTGTTGTTTTTCTCTTTCTTTTTTGTTTTTGGTGGTTCAGCGCGTAAAATTGATATCTTTTTTTTCGGAGGGTTATGATTAATTGGACGATAAGCTGTGGAACACTACCTTAACGCAATATAGTGCCATGATGGCAATAGTAACGTTCTAGTGTTAACTTTTCTGTGTTGTTGTTAGTTGTTTCATCTCTCTATCTTGAGCCATTTTTGCCCGTGCGGCTTACAAACTAAAGCTATCACTGAACGACGCACGATTCACTATATGTACCACATTGTTGGTACTTTTTCTATTTTATTTGTAATATCGTTCTGTATGCTTTTTTTTCTCGGCTCTCTTCCAATCCTCTCTATCAGCCTCTAGTCTGTTGAATATTCTCTGAAATTGCACGGCTCACCGAATCTTCAACTGATTCATGATTTTGAGCAAATGCTTTTTTGCTCTTCCTGCCTGCCGCTATATTACCGCTTGTAGCTGCAGTTCACTAGCAAGTACACATATTTACACTCACATCACATATTCGCTACATCCAATTGATGATCAAAGGTATACCATTGAACACGCTCACTTCCATATAGACGGTTGACCAGAGTATCTATTACTTTCATGTTGCACTGCACGTCTTTCAAGCAAACCATATACAGCTCTATCTCTCTCTCTCTCTCTCTCTCTCTCTCTCTCGTAGCGAGATGTTATTTGTTGTGTTATTCTTGAAACAAACGGTGTGTGTGTGCTGTGCTTGAATTGGCAATCGAAGTTGCATCAAGTGAATCGAACGATAATGCTTGACAAAATAGCACACAATGAAATTGCTCGAAATATTTCGGTATTTTCTCGAACTTAAATCCACACTTGAAAGAATTATCTCGTTTGTTGTTTATTCACTTTGAAAATCAGCAGAAAATAAGTGCATGTTGGCTGTAGAATATTTTCGTGCCGCATATTGTTACATTTAGATTGAAAATAGGTAGAAACATAACATTCGGGAGGATCGAGTAAAATTATTTAAGATAAATAAAATAAATCGAATTACATTCGTAATAAAAACTTTTTCGCACGCGTTGCAAAAATTGTGTGTTCTAATGCTCTCTACAAATAATCACTATTATAAAATCTCTTCATAAAATGGTATATGCGAATGCATTGGTGCTTTTGGGCAGAATTCGCTAGAATTTTTGAATTTGCATTAGTTGGTTGATTTTTTCAACAAACTAGAGATCGTTGATGATCTATTTTCACAAAAAAATTGAAATCCACTCATTTTTAATGATTCAATGAATTGAATTCGTTTTTAGAGTCTATTTGAACTCAATGAAACAGCTCGCTCGGCGTGGAAATTTTGCGCTTGTTATTATTATAGTTTAGTGATTTGAATGGGTTGATAGAAATTACCATTATTAAACATCAAAGAGTTCAAATGAGAACTCTCTTTTCTTGTGTTTTTATTTAAAAAATTTCAGGCGAAACCCTTAAATTGTCAAACAAACAAAGTTGAATCGGTGACCGATTGTCAGAAAATCGGTGGCGCATACGGTCGTCTAGGAAATAGAATCTTAATTGGAATACATTTGGTGCGTCGCTGTGTACCATTATGTTATATCGATGTTAATACTATAATTCTGATTTATTCTTCATTTTATGCGAGTTTTGTGAGAAAAAATCTAAGAAAAGAATGAAAAAACCCGTAACAAACTCATTCTTACACAATCGTATTGTAAGATTCGTATATTACATACAAAATCTAATTAACAGTTTTCGATATGGTGCTAATTCATTAAAAAGAAATAATTGCTGCATAAAATTAACCTGATAAATTTTCGATAAAAAAAACAGATTGAGTTTGATATAAAAGTGGCCAAATGTATTTGCGTATTAATTAAAAATAGTTCAATTTTGTACAACAGCACATTCGTTAAAATCACTGAACATGCACACCAAACTCTTCTTCATTTGCGGAATTTCGATCATAGTTGCATCTATGGTTGCATCTTTTCAAAGTTCGTAAATTTATTTTCCATCGTTCGAAGATTACTATAAATTATTATTTCTATTTGAACTGTGTATAACTGTGATTGCCCGAAAACTAATAATTTGGATTTTCTTGCACGACGGCTTTTCGATTGTAGTATAGGGCCACGGCACATGCAAGTTGGCATGTGACAGCACAGAAGATTCTAGAAGGACCGTACACTATTTGTTAGAGAATTAACAATGTTGTATTCCGAAAGGTCTGTTCTGAAATCGAGATTATCTGCCTATTATCTGGCAAAAACCCTAAATTTTTTACATGAAACCTTTCGATTTTCTCTGAGAAAAAGTTTCATGTAAAAAATTTTGGTTTTTTGCCACATAATGGGTAATCCTATTACACATGTAATAGGAAAAGTAATAGGATAAATGTAATAGCCATTACTGTAATCCCTACAAGAATTTTGCGATACATTGAGGTTCACGTCGACATGTCGCCGCAAAGCAAAACCTTCCCGCGACATTCCGCATTGCGATAGGTTTTTCAATGAACAGGTTCACGCAAAATCATTACGCCGACATATCGCATTGCGTAAACCTGTAAATTCGAATTGTATCCAACTTCATTACATTGAAAACATAATTTCAAATGGTTTTATTTAAACTTTTCATGTTGCTCATCGTTGCTATAAGGAATAAAAACTTATTCAAAATAACTATTGCAGCCTTTAAAAATACAACATGCTGAATTCGAATGAAGTTGATCGCAGTTCATACATTTTCTGACAACTATTGCGGAAGGTTGGCGATACGTTTGCGTAAACGTTGTCGCAAAATTCTTGTAGGGAATAGACTGTAATAGTAATAGGTAATAAGTAATATACTACCTATTACTTTACTTTACTTCTATAGTTTTACGCAAAAATGTTCAGCACGCAAATTTAATGCATGAAATCAGCCCTATTAGAATGGTTTATTCGATAGCGGGAAATCAAAAATGCGGGAGTGTCTGACCAACGAAAAGAATGAATGTCAAAAGTACGACAAGTCTTGTGAAAAAAGTAATCGCAGAAATGGGTTCTTGCCAAACAGGAATTTAAGTTAAGCAGGTGCACAGATATTTGACGACAGAATAAAAAATGATGAAAATTGAAATTGAAATAATTTGCAAAAAAGTATTGAGTGATGTGAAGAGACACTGTGATAATAAAAATGATTTTTCAATATTTGGTTCATGTTGTATTTTTCAGTTTGAGAAGCCATAATTGATTTAAACGTATTCAATATTATTCGGCACATAAATACCCAGATTTTTGGACCCCTTAAAACCCGATTTTTCACCAGTTTTAAGTCGTTTGTTCCTAGCGTTACTATATGGTAACGCAAAAAGTCAAAAAAATGCCATAAAACACACACACACTAATACACATATGTTGTTCATATATGTCACATTTGACGCGCAAAAGACGTACCTTTCGTATGACATCTTTTTTCGTTTTTGTGTTGTCGATTTCCAAAGTTACAGCATCGTAAAGTCGAGCAAAAACTTTGAGATGAAAAATTTGGAAAAGTCTGAAGTAAACACATTTTTGTGAAAATAATTGAAAGTGAAGCACGTCTGACGATGTGAATTTGATAGCTGACATTGAGAGCAAACACCACCTGGATAATACAAGGCTAATGGCAAAACAATCATTTAAACACTCCGTTCTGTCAAACGACACACGGATGTGTAACATACAAACATAGCAAATTCGCAATCGATTATGCAGGGGGCGCCACCGTCGATCGATTCCAGAACAAATACATAGAGTAATAAAGACCGCAAGTCTGACGTGAATTGGGGATATATTGTTTTATACATTAAATGTCGCGAACTTTATTTCGAAATACTTTGTTCTTTGGAATAAATTTTTTTTTGTTTTTTCATTTTTTGCATGTGTTACCATATGGTAACGCTGAGCACAACAGGGCACTGATCGGGGTGTGTGAGCACCATTCCTTATTTTCAATCGATTTTATCCAAACTTTGAGCCATTGAAGTACATCAAAAAGTATGGAATCAACAGTAAAGATGTGGAGCCTCGGAAATTAGAACGTACTTTGTGTACTTCTAATTTCAGAAATCTTCTAATTTTGTAGAAAAAATTTTTCGCATTAATTTTACGATTAAAACAACTAAATAACATTACAGTACAGTGCGCCCCCGCAAATTAAAAATCCGAGAATTAGAAAACCTCAGAAAATAGAAATGAATTTCAGGTTTGAAAATTTGTATGGAATATTTTCAATTTCCGGGGTTCATTTCTAATTTACGGCGTTTTCGAATCATTTCATTCAAGACAAAGGGAAATTTACTTCATTTTTAATGAAAAAACGTAATGAAAGTCTTTTCCATTTCGTTGAATAACTATATTAGCAGATCAGCTTGAGATTTTCGACGTTTACCATGAAGTTAAAAATTAAGTTAAGAAGTAATCTGTTCCATATTGTCTGCGTCAATCATCAATCATTAACAAATCGAAACCGATTTGTTCCATCAGAGAATTTGCATATACAAAATTGTATATAGAATGCTAACGTTTTGATATAATAAGAACAGCCGGTCATCATTTATTTCGGTTTGTTCCGAGGAGTAGTTTATCCAGTAAAATCAACTAACAGACTTACTATATATTTATAATCACTAAAATGTATTTACATACCATAACGAGAACATGACGTATTTGAAACGTCTAACTCCATCTACGGATTTTTCCAGCAGTTGTGTTCTATTGAGTTGCGGTTTCAACTATTTTTGGGCGAAATTATCTCAAAAGTATGCTAAAATGAGTTATTTGTCATGCGAACGCTCAAACGACTACTGTTAATGTACGCACGGATTCAGTAGACATGCAATGGTTACTAGATGACAAATTTACAATACACTCGAGTGCATGTATTTGCGCGTACATTTCCGGTAGCCGTTTGAGCGTTCGTATAACAAATAACTCATTTTTGTATATTTTTGAGATAATTTCGCCCAAAAATAGTTGAAATCGTTATATATCTACTCCATTCACAACTACTGGAAAAATCCGTAGATGGAGTTAGACGCCCGTACCAAATGTAATGTATTGAAACTCCATATACATGCTCGGAGTATCTTACATACAATACTTG